AACAAAGCGACACGGTATACCTATTACACTGAGGCGGCAGATGACTGGTGCGAGGCTATTGTTTGCCCCAACGGCTGTTGGGTCGATAACCTGATAGCTGGTATGCCTCGGTCGCCTCGGTAGGCAATTTAACGTGCTTTCGTTGTTGCTATCAATGGGATGATGTGATGATGCGATGATGGTGATTAAAGCTGGACCGTAAGCAAAGCGCTCGGCGTATGGTTAACGGCTTACTCACTCGCGCACTAGTTGTATTAGCACTATGCCAACTAACTTTGGCGAGAAAAAACCCTCGCGTGGGGAAAAACTCAAAAACTCAAATACTAGTGTCGTACAACGAGACCGATGCGACTTGACCGGCTCAGCGTGCGAGACGGAATGGACTCATACATCTAGTTTTCACTGGAAATCCTATGTATGCCCACACGAATTGCCGGCGAAAAAGTGACGTCATTTGACATTGAGCGTCTTGAAGACTGATCGTTCGCCCTTTGTCCGGGATGCGGACAAAAGGCGATTCGCCCCGCTAGAGTAATTTCATCCGCCGGGCGACCAAATGGCGCTCCGGGATGCGGACGAAGGGCGACTCGCCCCGCTAGAGTAATTTCATGCGCCGGGCTACCAAATGGCGCTCCGGGATCCGGACGAAAGGCGACTCGCCCCGCTAGAGTAATTTCATCCGCCGGGCGACCAAATGGCGGATGGAACTTAGCAATTTTTTTTGTGATTTTTTTTCGCGGCGACTGATTACGTGGTCAGTCGTTTTTTCATATCGTGCGTGTATAGACGCGTTTATCCGCGTCGTGAAATTTGCCTCCGATGGCAAAGTTGATGGTAAGTACGGGACAGTTTGATATTAAGTGTAATTATTATTAAAAATTGATTCGCTGGAGGAATCCGGCTGAGTTAAACATTCTTACTGATGCAACGCATCAATAAGGATGTTTAATTCATCCGTATTCGTCCGGCGGATCAATTTTGATGTAATTTATTGTTTTCCAAAATTGATCCGCTGGAGGAATCCGGCTGAGTTGAGCATCCTTATTGATGCGTTGCATCAGTAAGGATGCATAACTCAGCCGGATTCCTCCAGCGGATCAATTTTGGAAATTAATTACAAATTGAAATTAATTACAAATTGACAGATGAAAAAATTTGATGATTTTTTAAAAAACTTTTTTTCAGCCGGCTGCTTCCACTGATCCGCTGGAGGAATCCTTACCGATGCCGGATCCCGATGTTTATGTTTAAGGTAAAGTTAAGTTAAATTTTTATTAAAATTAAGTAAAAGTTAAAGGTATTTCAATGTTCAGTTAAATTAAGTAAGTTACAACTAAATTTAAGTTAAAATTATGTTGAAGTTAAGTTAAAGTTCGGCTAATTAAGTTAGAGTTATGTTAATTTTATGCTACAATTATGTTAAAGTAAAGTTAAAGTTAAGTTCATGTTATGTTAAAGTTAAAGCTATGTTAATGGTAAGATAAACATTTGTTAAAACAAAAGTTAAAATTTAGTTAATGTTACGTTAAAATTAAGCTAGAGTTAAGTTAAGGTTATGTTTAAGTTAAGTTAAAGGTAAGTTACAGTTATGTTTATGTTAAGATAAAGTTAAGTTAATTTATGTTTAAGATAAAGTTAAGTTAAAGGTAAGTTAAAATTATGTTGAAGTTAAGTTAACGTTATGTAAAATTTAAGTTAACGATAAGTTAATGGTAAGTTAAAATTATGTTAAGGTGAAGTTTATTCAAATTGATGTATAAGTTATGTTAAAGTTAAATTTAAATTAAATTTATGTTAAAGTTCAAGTAACGTTAAAGTTATGGTTATGTTAAGTTATAATTAATTTAAATTCAAAGTTATGTTAAAGTTGAACTTATGCTAAAAATAAATTAAATTTATAGCGAATTTGTTTCAATTTAAGTTGAAGTTTTGCTAAAATTATGTTCAAGTAAAGTTAAGTTAAAGTTATGCTGTATGTAAGTTAAAGTTAAGTTAAAGTTAAGTTAAAGTTAAGTTAAAGTTAAGTTAAAGTTAAGTTAAAGTTAAGTTAAAGTTAAGTTAAAGTTAAGTTAAAGTTAAGTTAAAGTTAAGTTAAAGTTAAGTTAAGTTAAGTTAAAGTTAAGTTAAAGTTAAGTTAAAGTTAGGTTAAAGTTAAGTTAAAGTTAAGTTAAAGTTATGTTAAGGTTGAATTAAAGTTGAATTAAATTAAGTTAAAATTAAGTTAAGGTTAAGTTAAAGTTCAGTTAAAGTTAAGTTAAAGTTAAGTTAAAGTTAAGTTAAAGTTAAGTTAAAGTTCAGTTAAAGTTAAGTTAAAGTTAAGTTAAAGTTAAGTTAAAATTGAGTTAAAGTTAAGTTAAAGTTGAGTTAAAGTTGAGTTAAAGTTGAGTTAAGTTAAGTTAAAGTTAAGTTAAAGTTAAGTTAAAGTTAAGTTAAAGTTAAGTTAAAGTTAAGTTAAAGTTAAGTTAAAGTTAAGTTAAAGTTAAGTTAAAGTTAAGTTAAAGTTAAGTTAAAGTTAAGTTAAAGTTAAGTTAAAGTTAAGTTAAGTTAAGTTTAAGTTAAGTTAAATTTAAGTTAAGTTAAGTTAACGTTATGTTAAAGTTAATGTTATGTTTGTTCGACTCCCCGTCGAAATCAGTAAATTTTTATGCAACTTACAGCGATTGATGTGTTCTTTGCTGCTCTACTTCATCTCCAGCCGTGCCAATAAACTCCGATTTGGTGAGGTGGGTTGGGTTCAACCTTAGCATGCAATTTCTCGGATTGCAATCACACACGAATTACACAAAGAACAACAACAGTTTAATGCACTTAAACACTACTATTTAGACTTAAATTTATTTTACTCTTAATATAATAACGACACAAACAAATTAAAATGCGATCTTTTCATCCCGACGCGCGCGGTCGAACGGTGGATGATACCCGTCGTGTGGTCTTGCATGCACTGACTTATCATCTACGGAAAAGTAACCAGCATCACCGGCTCGCCCATGGAGTGCGTGTATAGGTAGCCGAAGATGACGACCGGTGGTAGTGGTCAACGGTGAGTGACCGATGGTCTTGTATAGGCGACTGCTTCCTCCTGATGACACCTAGATAGCGTTGCCGAACATCCTGCCCCCGGCAGAAATGACCATTTCTGGAGATTCTCGACGCTGGATTCATGGAAGAGCTCGGTGACATGGAACAGATAAAGAAGACCCGGTAGGATTTCCCAAAAAATTAAAAGTGTTGGACAGGTCCTTACCTGGACCCTACTGTTCAAGGGCCTTGTATGCTGATAATCTACGATGAGTTCTCTGCCCCCGGCTGACGTGACGTCCTCGCTATTTTATCGCTTTCGCGTTGTGGAGTTGATGTTACGATTCCATTTACAGCAGCACTAGCAGTTGATCCGATCCTCATGGAGTATAGTGGGAAACGCTCGCAGGTACATGTAATGTGAATAAGACCCGGTAGCCAATTTCGAGAAGGTATGTGTTATTGGAAAGGTCCTCACCTGGACCCTTCGCATTAAGGGCCTTGAATTAATTTCGTATCCAGCAACTTTGAAGAGCTTGGTTGATCTGCTTCTGCAGAAACCATGCTGTTGGCCAGGTTGATCCACAAAGGAAACCTCTAGCCCGACCGCGGTTGCGGTGCTGCTAACGTTGATGGCTGATCGTCGGCTGATGGTGGTATTGGAAGTACGCAGATTTTTGCCGTAGGACGAGTGAGGAATCCGGTTGCAGTTTGCAGAGTGACTACTCGTACTACGCCGTCCTTTCCTGGGTGTAGATCGTGGATTCGTGCAGTGGCCCAGCGCATCGGTGGCTGGTTCTCGTCTACGATGACTACAAGCTGGTTTTTGTGCAGTGGTACAGGCGGTTTGCACCACTTACTACGTGGTTGTAGCGAAGCGAGGTATTCCACGTGCCAGCGTTTCCAGATATCCTGGAGCAGTTTCTGGATTAGCTGCCATTGGTGGAGACGGTTTGCTGGAATCGATTCATAGTCGACGTCTGGGACGGACTGCAAGGACGAACCGATCAGAAAGTGTCCCGGTGTGAGGGCTTGAAAGTCTGACGGATCCTCGGATAGTTTGGTGAGCGGCCGTGAATTGAGACAAGCTTCAATCTGCACGAGGAGTGTCTCCATGTCGTCGAAGGCTAGCTTACGATCTCCGAGCACACGGACGTAGTGCTTCTGTGCAGAGTTGATTGCAGCTTCCCATAATCCTCCGAAATGCGAACCACGAGGCGGATTGAAGTGCCAACGAATCCCGTTGGTAGCACATTCACTGGTGAAAGTGTGCTGAAAATCTTTGTCACGTAGTAGTTTCCGGATTTCATTTGCTGCCCCAACGAAGTTTTTACCGTTGTCGCTGTACACGTCTGAACACAAACCACGACGAGATACGAAGCGACGGAAAGCCTGGAGAAACTTGACTGTAGTTAGGTCCACGACGAGCTCCAGGTGTACAGCCTTTGTGCTGAAACACACAAATACTGCGACGTAAGCTTTCGGAGGTGCATCTCTGCGGTGACGAGGCTTGAGGTAGATCGGTCCCCAGAAGTCAACACCGACGAAAGAAAAAGGTCTCGAAGCGGTAACACGCTGAGTGGGAAGTTCAGCCATGAATTGCTCGATTGCCTTCGGTTTGGCTCGAAAACAGGTGACGCAGCCGTGAACAATGCGACGAGTGATGTTTCTGCCGCCCAAGATCCAAAACCGCTGCCGAATAGTGTTGGTAAGCAGCTGTACAGCTGCGTGCAGAAGGCGTTCATGCTGACAACGGACGAGAAGTGTCGTGAATGGATGCGACCCTGGCAGAAGTATCTGATGGCGAGAATCATACGGTTGTGCAGAACGACTCAATCGTCCTCCGATGCGTAAAACGTTATCAGGAGCAATCATCGGATTGAACCAGCGAAGTCGTGAATTCGAGGAGACCATTTGATTTGCCTGCAGTGCCTTCCATTCCATAGGAAAGCTGTCCCTTTGAACAAGTCGAACGAGTGCTAATTCAGCGCTACGGACTTCAGCTGCTGTTAACGGTGATGAAAAGGTTCGCTCGGCGTTGGGTAGTCGAAGGTTTTTGAAATACCGCCGCCAGTAGGCAGTGATGCGTAACATATGCTGGTAGTTGGAGAACCTGCTTACGTATTCCTCGACGAATGATGGCGAAGAAGAAGCGACTGCAAACGAAGATTTCCTTGCTTCTTTGGCTGCCTCGTTGTCAACACATGCGTCAACTGGAACTTTCCACGATTCTTTTTCTCCTCGAAACCATGGAGGACCTTCCCACCACAGTCTACACTGTATCAAGTCTGCAGCTGGAAGACCTCTCGAGATGATGTCCGCGGGATTTTCTCGTCCTACTACGTGGTTCCACTCGCAGTTCTCCGTCTTCTGCTGGATTTTGGATACCCGGTTTCCGACAAAAGTGGACCAGGTGGATGGTGTAGCCTTGAGCCAGCTCAAAACGGTGGTTGAATCTACCCAGAAGTACGCTTTGGACGTGATTCGCAGTGCTTCGGAGACCTTCTGGTAGAGCTCAGCAGACAGAAGTGCACCACAAAGCTCTAGGCGCGGAATGCTTTGCTGTTTGAGTGGAGACACCTTCGAGCGAGACGTTAATAGAGCGACCTTGACTTCACCTGACTCATTCGACGATCTGATGTAGGCACACGATCCATATGCAGCTAAAGAGGCGTCTGAGAAGAAGTGCAGCTCCACAGAAGTAGCATTTGGGAGTATGACGAATCGATCAATTCGCAGAGCGTTCAGCCGGGGAAGTTCGGTGTAGTATTCGACCCAACGTTTCTTCATCTGCTCCGGTAGTTCCTTGTCCCACTCGTACTGCTTTCCGCTGTCATCTTTCAATCCCCACAATGCTTGCATGAAGGTTTTCGCGATGACTACGACCGGACCCACCAAACCAAGTGGGTCAAACAGTTTGGCGATGCAGGAAAGTGCGCTTCGTTTCGTGACGACTGTTGAGGACTTGGTTGTCGCTTCAGGAACGACGTATTTCAACTGGTCAGAACAGGGTTCCCAGTGTAGACCCAGTGTCTTTATGGCCTGATCCTTGTCGAAATCCATCGAAGGCTGCAAGGCACGGTTGTATTCCGGAACTCCTTCTAGTACTGCAGGGTAATTGCTCGCCCACTTTCGTAGTTGCATTCCAGCTGAGTTGAACATGGCATCCATTTGCTCCCGTAGTTCGATTGCTTCGGTGACAGTCTGTGCGCCCGAAAAGAAATCGTCGACATAAAAATCCTCACAGGTTGCTTTCGCTGCGAGGGGATACCTCTCCTTCTCATCCTCCGCTAGCTTCTTCAGTACTCGAGTGGCTAGATACGGAGCTGAAGCGGTGCCGTAGGTTACGGTCTTCAATTTGTAGATGCGGATCGGTTCTGATAGTGAAGGACGCCAGAATATCAAATGAAATCGGCAGTCTCTGGGAAACAAAACCATTTGCCGGTACATTTTGGCGACGTCAGCAATCATCATGATAGGATGCAGGCGAGATCGCATCGTTATGGACCGCAAATCTTCTTGAACAATTGGACCCACTAACATAGCGTCGTTCAGGGAAATTCCGGTGGAGCTCTTGCAAGAAGCATCGAAGACGACACGCACCTTGGTTGTACTGCTCTCCTCGCGAATGATTGGATGATGTGGAAGGAAGTATGCAGGCCCTGACGCTACATCTGATTCATCGATTCGCTCCATGTGTCCCAACTCTTCGTACTCGTCCATGAATTTACGATATTCGGCAGCTAATTCTGGATCGCGACCGAAACGACCCTCGATCAGGCGAAAACGGTGAAGTGCAGTACGTTTATTGTCTCCTAGTTTGTCCAAAACATCTTCCTTGAACGGTACTCGTACCATGTACCGTCCATCCTCACAGCGACAAGTAGTTTCGCTGAAGAATTTCTCGCAGTAGGCTTCGGATGCAGAGTGGACGACCGTTGAATCGTCCTCGATGGCCCAAAATCGCTCCATGTCACGATGGATGTCGGCAGTGGTAGCGACGTTGCAGACTACGGAAGATCTTGAATGTTGTTCAGAAGTTTTGCCGCTGATAATCCAACCGAAAACCGAATTAACCAGACACGGAAGAGATTCGCCTAAAGTGATTCGACCATTAACATTGAAGAGATCGAAGAAGACCTCGGCCCCTAGCACAACATCAATGACTCCGGACTGATAGAATGACGGATCAGCTAACTGGATTCTTGTCGGAAGCGACCAGCTCGACGCATCGACGGAGATTGAAGGCAGATCTACGGTGACCTTGGGAAGAACGAAGGCGTCGATGGTGGTGGAAAACTTGGATATCCGAGACTTCACTATCGAGCGGAACATGCAGCGGACTTCGGTAGACGCTTGACCAATCCCTGCGATCGGAAGATTCACCTTATGTCGCCGAACCTTCATGTGTTGCACCACTCGTTCTGATGCAAAGCAGCATTCGCTGCCTGAATCCAACAAAGCTCGCACTGGATGCTCGTTGCCACTATCGTCCACCATGATGATGATCGCTGTGGCTAATAGTACCCTGCTCCTGGTTCCGTCTTGCGTTGTACAACTCGAAATGCCAGTATGCGCTGCTGGCGTGGCTGACATCGGTCCGCTACTACTGCCCGCCTGGCCGGAAGCACTAGATTGGTCCGATTGGTTGATTGTAGCTGGTTGACTACTGCCTGTAGATCTTGACGCGAAACACAGCTGTGTATGATGCCGTCCTCGGCACTTGCGGCAGCTGCTCTCCGATGAACATTCTTTCGCCATGTGACCACGACGCAGACAATTTCGGCAGAGTTGATTGCGTCGAACTACTTGCTCCTTCTCGTCAACAGCCATATTTGCAAATTCGCTGCACTGGTACAGGGAGTGTTGACTTGAACACGCTGGACATTTGCGCGACCCCTGCTGTATAGCACCGTGATTTCCTGAACGTGGAGGGTTGGGTTTCTTGATGTTAGCTGGAGTTTCCGAAGGCTTGTTGGCAACCGTCTCCAGCACGTTGACTCGACGTTGAAGAAACTCGACTAATTGCTGGAATTTCGCAGCATCGTTTGTCTCTGCGTATTCTTCCCAATCACGCCTCGTTACTGAATCCAATCGCGTACTGAGCAGATGTATCAGTAGGACGTCCCAATGCTCGGTATTTTCCCCCAGTTGTTTGAGGATCTTAACATTAGTTTGGAATTTGTCAATCAACGAATGTAATTCGACTGCCGTTTCACGTTTCATGCAGGGAAATTCAAACAAGGACTGCACGTACGTCCGTTTCAAACGCCGAGGGTTTTGGTAGTGACTCAGCAGCAAATTCCATGCAACGGAGTACTGTTCGTTGCTAATCGGAATTGTTTGAATTAGTTTAAGTGCTTCACCAGCCAAAGAGGAGCGTAAATAGTAAAATTTTTGGATAGTGGACAAATTCGCCGAAGAGTGTACAAGCGAAACGAACAAATCGTGAAAGTTCATCCAGTGTTCGTAATTGCCTCCAAAAACTGGCAATTTAATGTCTGGCAATTTTAGGTGGGACACATTGCTCGTGTTATCAATGGGCCGGGCAGTAGTAGGTTGGGCCTCATTCTGGTTTAACAAAAGTAGCGTACCTTTTATTCGATAATAGGCTCGTTCGAATTCCGTGCGCTCCTTCAAGTATGCGTCCAAGACTTCCTCGGCTTCTTCCAGCGTCTCCAATTCCGCCTGAACAGCATTGAATTCCGTCCAAAGCGCGATTACGTTTTCCAAACGAACAGGCACCTCGCACTTGTCCTTGTCCGCTTGGTAGCTGGATACGAAGGATTTAATCGAAGCAAATGACGTGAAGATACTGCGTTTGCGGTTCTTTAGACCACGCAGTTTCCGCTCGGCCGCCGACATAACGATGAGCGATGACAGGATCTACGAACAAAACACCGCGTAGACCGCGCTAAATTGCATAAAAGGATTGGAATCTTAATCACCTGTTTACAGGCAGAATTTGCCTTGTATTTTTAATCCAAATCGCCTCCTCTCTCGGGTTGAATGTTGCAAATCGAGTTGACGGAATTCCAGTCGTTCGATGGGATGAATGTCTATCTGCAACGGCTGCTTCTGTTGATCATCGACCGGTCTCGAAGAGGTGAACTGATCCCGGGACTATCGACCAACCCAATGGCAAACTTGAGTGCGCCCTCGCGGCCGTAGTTGGCTCTCAGTGGTCCGTTTCAAAGCAACACGGTGACCACAGCAAAACGTCCAGAACATGTACAAAAAAAAAACGATCTCGTAGACCAATTTACAGAATGTAAGTCATTGAAACCGCACTCACCTTAGTGAGGCATTGAAAATGCCTTGTATTGTTGTTTATTACTGCATGCATGGCGCACACGCCATACCATATCTGGACAATTGAACAATATCAGCATGCAAGAGGTCCAATGGCGCGACCGCCATGTAAGCTTCTCAGGATGGCACGTATCTCGTATTGGCCGGGCGGATCCCTATCGACGCCCAAATCCGGCTCGAAGGACCAATGTTCGACTCCCCGTCGAAATCAGTAAATTTTTATGCAACTTACAGCGATTGATGTGTTCTTTGCTGCTCTACTTCATCTCCAGCCGTGCCAATAAACTCCGATTTGGTGAGGTGGGTTGGGTTCAACCTTAGCATGCAATTTCTCGGATTGCAATCACACACGAATTACACAAAGAACAACAACAGTTTAATGCACTTAAACACTACTATTTAGACTTAAATTTATTTTACTCTTAATATAATAACGACACAAACAAATTAAAATGCGATCTTTTCATCCCGACGCGCGCGGTCGAACGGTGGATGATACCCGTCGTGTGGTCTTGCATGCACTGACTTATCATCTACGGAAAAGTAACCAGCATCACCGGCTCGCCCATGGAGTGCGTGTATAGGTAGCCGAAGATGACGACCGGTGGTAGTGGTCAACGGTGAGTGACCGATGGTCTTGTATAGGCGACTGCTTCCTCCTGATGACACCTAGATAGCGTTGCCGAACAATGTTAAAGTTAAAGTTAATGCTTAAGGTAAGTTAAAGTTCAGTTAATTTTAGGATAAAGTTATGTTAAATTTAAGTTAAAATTACGTTAAGTTAAAGTTAAGTTAAAGATATGTTAAGTTAATGTTCGGTTTAAGTTAAAGTTATGTTAATGTTAAAGTGATGTTTAATTTAAGTTAAAATTTAAAGTTAAGTTAAAGTTAAGTTAATGTTAGGTTTAAGTTATGTTAAAATTTAAGTTATGTTAAAATTAAGTCAAAGTTAAGTAAAGGTTATGTTAAGTTAAAATTTAGTTGAAGTTAAGTTAAGTTTAACTTAAGTTTAACTTAAGTTTAAGTTAAGTTTAATTTAAATTATCTCGTAATTTAATAATCGTTTAATAAATGTAGAATAGTGTCTAATGAAACATTATTTCACATAATAATCAAGCGTCTATATACACCTTTATATCATCGCTGTTTAAGGAAGTAATGATGTGTAATTAACGCTGAATAATCAAAAATTTGATCGAATAAGCTCTGTTACAATTTTTGTAAGCCGAAGAAAAGCTTCTCGACATACTTTATTCAACACCAAATACTTCGATGTTGTAGTTGAATAAATTCTCCAGATTTGTGTGAACAAAGCCTGAGCAGAAGTTAATATTTAAAATAGTACAAGTATTATTAAGCATGAAGTGATATAAAATAGTCAAGAAGTCGTTTCTTCAATAGGCAATTGTTTGTTGGGAAGTAAATGTTAGGTTAAAGTTATGTTAAAATTGATTTTTGGCCTCTATTCGTGACCAAAATTCCAAAAATACCCATATTTATGGACTTTTGAAATTATTTTTCACTTTTTATGAAACTGGAAGCCGCCACATTTGATTTCAAAATGGCATCGGATATCGATTTTCTCTAGACGACAACCTCCAAAAACCTTCAAAAAAATCCCATATTGATTGATATTTGATAGTACATAATTCCCAATCTCTTCTTGGATCTCGGAATTCAAAATGGCGTAGTCATTAGCCCGATTCTAAAAATACCCATATTTATGGATATTTGACACTTTTTCTGCAACAGGAATCCTCCACCTTGGATTTCAAAGTAGCGTCGGATATCGATTTCCTATCTCTACACGTCACCCCGATTCCAAAAATACCCATATCGATGTCAATGGTATCAACGGTATATGACAATATATCCCATATTTGATTTAAAAATGGCGTCGGATATCGATTTCCAGTTGATTGTAGATTGTAGATTGTAGTAGAGTTGGAAACTTGATCATGTAAACACTACGCATCATTGTCTGGTAGTACGTTAAAAAATGATACAACAATGGTCAAGTTCGCTGTAACGTCACCTAGTGCCTCGTCATCCACGAATTGGCGCCTATGTCAGTAGTCTAATAACTCTTAGCGCGCTGATGGCATGGTTCCAATGCCACATAGAGAGTTGCTACAATGATATTAGGTTAGCTAAGGTCAGTTAACTGACTGGTGGGGAACGGTGTTGGTGGTGTTGAATGGTTGAAAGCATTTGAAAAAGTTAGATTTTAATGTTTTGCACATTTGAAAACATCCGAAAACAATAAGTTCTTAGTACAATTGAAAACACCCGAAAATCATTTTGTTTTAATGTCTTGTACATTTGACAACATCAGGGAGCATCTACATTTGAAAACACCCGAAGAACGTTAAATTTTAACGTTTTGTACGTCTAAAATCATCTAAAAAATAAAAATTCGATGAAAATTCTCGACGTCAGAAATACATTTGAATAGCAAAATTTTATTTCACGTTACATCTAAATAGCAATGTTTTCTAATGTTTGATGCCAGGAATATATTTTATTTCGATGCTGATGTACCCTAATAAAAATTGTATGGTTAATTTGCTTAACGACGTGTTCTGGGTATCATCCAAACCATTTGTGGAATAGTTCAATGATTTGGGTTATCGTTCGTCTATGGTTATTTTTTATTAGGGTAGACATCAAACGTTAGGCAAACGTAAATTTTTATTCGGGTTCCCCCGGGACACCCGGAATATGTCCGGATGTGGCCAAAGTGGTTCTTGTTCTGGTTCTTGTAGTGGTTTGAGTTCCATTGAACCAGAAATTGAATTCTGATGTATTTTGATGTGTCGCATGATGGGTTTGACCATAATCAGATGTTGGCCTCTTCCCCCGGGACACCCGGAATGTGTCCGGATGTGGCCAAAGTGGTTCTAGGAACTAGATTTGAGTTCCATTAAACCAGTCGTTGAATTCTCATGTAATTTGATGTGTCGCATGATGGGTTTGGCCCTAATCAGATGTTGGCCTCTTCCCCCGGGACACCCGGAATATGTCCAGATGTGGCCAAAGTGGTTCTAGGAACTAAATTTGAGTTCCTTTGAACCAGAAATTGAATTCTCATGTATTTTGATGTGTCGCATGATGGGTTTCACCCTAATCAGATGTTGGCCTCTTCCCCCGGGAAACCCGGAATGTGTCCGGATGTGGCCAAAGTGGTTCTTGGAACTAGATTTGAGTTTCATTGAACCAGAAATTGAATTCTCATGTATTTTGATGTGTCGCATTAAGGGTTGCACCCTAATCAGATGTTGGCCTCTTCCCCCGGGACACCTGGAATGTGTCCGGATGTGGCCAAAGTGGTTCTTGGAACTAGATATGAGTTCCTTTGAACCAGAAATTGAATTCTCATGTATTTTGATGTGTCGCATGATTTGTTTGACCCTAATCAGATGTTGGCTTCTTCCCCCGGGACACCCGGAATGTGTCCGAACTGGCCAAAGCGGTTCTAGAAACTAAATTTGAGTTCCATTGAACCAGTCGTTGAATTCTCATGTAATTTGATGTGTCGCATGATGGGTTTGACCCTAATCAAATGTTGGCCTCTTCCCCCGGGATACCCGGAATGTGTCCGGATGAGGGTAAAGTGGTTCTTGGAACTAAATTTGAGTTCCATTGAACCATAAATTGAATTCTCATGTAATTTGATGTGTCGCATGATGCGGTTGACTTAGCTTGTAAGATATTATTGTTAGGTTAAGATCTATTTAATAAAAAAAAACATATGTTAGTTATAAGAAAATGAAAAATAAAATTTATTGATGAAGTCATGTTTATGCTTCAACTGTTTTCATTTTTATTAATTTAAAACCCATTGAAAAAGAAAATGGTGGTGAACATTCGGGAGCGCGCCGGGGCGCCTGGGGGCGGACAAAATGGCCGAAACGATCAGTTTTTTGACAGGTATCGTTTTCGCCTCAGGCGCCCAAATGTTGCAAATAATTGGACCAAGCGGCGCCGCGAGGTTCGAGTCGCCCAAGTCCGCCCCGTCCGCCGAGCGGTCCGGGGGCGAGCCGTGGGCGACTAGCCCGCTGTATGTGGGTGAGTGCTTATTTCAAGACAGCCTATATAACATGATATCAGGAGCAAATTTTCATTACGTCGAATGTAACAAAGGTAAACAAAGTCGAGCTATCAGTGTCAATCGATTCTCCTGCTATTACACTATATACTGTCCGAATATAGTGCAACGCCCCATTTTCCGTGAACCCAAGATTCACTGACTCAGCGTAAACGTAAGCATAGAAAAGATTAGCAAATGAATAACCACCACACGCCAAACAGGTGAGAATGTTTTCATTCGGTTATGTAAACGAATAAACATTGAAGGGCAGCGTAACGTTCATAGTGACGCTCCAAATGGGAACAAATAACAGGGCCATGCAGAGTAGCAAAATTAAAAATCAATATAAACAAATGAAGACGCCAGAGTATATCGCTACGTTCGCACAGGGTATATGACTCATGAGAGAGATTAATGAATTAATGAATGAACACTATGTACTAAGAATTAAGAGAGAGAAAAT